GCTCCCATCTACTTTCACTTTTAAAAGTTCTTCTTTCTCAGCCCTCTTCCCCGCAATCTTTATCGATTGTTTACTTTCCGGAGATTTGCTAAAGTCTCTGATCATCCGCGCCCTGGTAAATCTCTCTCAACAGATTTCAGCATTTTTGCTTCCGCTCCCCCCTCGGGTCTCATGTTTAAATTCATACGCGTGGGAGGGGCCCCTCCCCCGCTCGCTTTCTTTCCTAGTCCTTGGGGTGGGAGCTTTCTTTTTATAATGTCAGTTACACTCTAATCCGACTCACAGCTCATAGTCGGTCTTGCGACCTCGCTGTAGCTCCGTTTTAACCACTCGATCTCCAGCGCTTGTCCCGGTCAGCGTCACTAGTTCCATATGGACACACAGCAGGAGGACCGTCAGGATGGAGAAGCACCTCGATTCCCCAGCATCACGTTGGCGAAGAGGCCACCTCTCAAAAGTCCCATGGCTAGGAGCCTTTCAACCAGGCTCCGGGGGGGTAGTGAGACGCCCCCCCTTTCTGCTGGTGCACAGATTTCATCCCTGGGAGGTCCGGGAGATGAGTCTGCTCAGCGTGTCGCCATAAACCAGACCTTTTTGATTTCCATGTGGGGAAAAGTGTAAGGTAGTACTGCTTTGTATTCTTGGAAATGATTCCTTGACCATTTTAAAGCAAACGTGTTTCTTTCTTTGCATCAATGAACAGAAATCTATGGATAAAAATTTGCTCATAAAAAGTATTTGAAGATAGTTGTAGAATCTGGCTTCCCCATGTTCAGACGCAATGTTCCCTCTAAGCTTTGGAGCCTTGTGAGCAAAAATTCTACTTTGTGAGCTACTGGCATTAAAGTTGTGAGCGAGCAATTTGGCTACTGCATAAACTAGTTTGCTCTGAAGCCATCCTTCCTGAGGTAAGACAAAACTGTGAGCTGGAGGCTAAAAAACTGTGAGCTAGCTCACACTAACTCAGCTTAGAGGGAACACTGGTTCAGAGTTATGGCTTTTCGCATGTAGCAAGTCCTTGCTAAAGCAGGTTAAACAAAAGTTTGTGCAAGCAAAAGATGGCAGAAGACTGATGTCTTACAGCACAAGGTAACTTTAAAAAATGTTTTGCAACCTGGAAAGCAAGATGCTCTAGGTCAAGGAGACTCCATTTTCCTGCCCTTATCTAGCCTTTATCCTGTTTCTCATAGTGAATAAGAACATAAGAACATAAGAGACGCCAATGTTGGATCAGGCCAAAGGCCCATCCAGTCCAACACTCTGTGTCACACAGTGGCCAGAAATACCAGTGCCATCAGGAGGTCCAGCAGTGGGGCCAGGACATTAGAAGCCCTCCCACTGTTGACCCCCCCCCCAAGCACCAAGAAGACAGAGCATCACTTGCCCCAGAGCCCCTAGCTATACCTTGTGGCTAATAGCCACTGATAGACCTCTGCTCCATATGCTTATCTAATTCCCTTTTGAAGCCGTCCATGCTTGTAGCACCCACCACTTCCTGTGGCAGTGAATTCCATGTGTTAATCACTCTTTGGGTGAAGAAGTACTTCCTTTTATCCGTTCTAACCCGACCGCTCTGCAGTTTCATGGAGTGCCCACGAGTTCTTGTATTGTGAGAAAGGGAGAAAAGTACCTCTTTCTTTACCTGCTCTTTCCCATGCATAATCTTATAAACCTCGATCATGTCACCCCTCAGTCGTCTTTTCTCCAAGCTAAAGAGCCCTAAGCGCTTTAACCTTTCCTCATAGGGAAAGTGTTCCAACCCTTTTATCATTCGAGTTGCCCTTTTCTGCACTTTTTCCAAAGCTATAATATCCTTTTTAAGGTGTGGTGCCCAGAACTGCACACAGTATTCCAAATGAGGTCTCACCATTGATTTATATAGGGGCATTATTATATTGGCTGATCTGTTTTCAATACCCTTCCTAATAATCCCCAGCATAGCATTGGCCTTCTTTATTGCAGTCACACACTGTCTCGACATTTTCAGTGAGTTATCCACTACAACTCCAAGATCTCTCTCTTGCTCAGTCTCTGCCAGTTCAGACCCCATCAATGTGTATTTATATTTAGGATTTTTGGCTCCAATGTGCATCACCTTGCACTTGGCCACATTGAACCCCATTTGCCATGTTGACGCCCACTCGCCCATCCTTGACAGATCCCCTTGGAGTGCCTCACAATCCTCACTGGTTTTCACCACCCTGAACAACTTTGTATCATCCGCAAATTTAGCCACTTCACTGCTTACTCCCATCTCCAAATCATTAATGAACAAGTTAAAAAGCAGTGGACCAAGTACTGATCCCTGCGGTACCCCACTGCTTACCACCCTCCACTGAGAAAATTGCCCACCTACACTCACTCTCTGTTTTCTATGAACTAGCCAGTTTTTGATCCATAAAAGGACTTGTCCTTCTATCCCATGATTTTTGAGCTTACTTAGGAGCCTTTGATGAGGAACTTTATCAAAAGCTTTCTGGAAGTCAAGGTAAATAATATCTATTGGATCCCCCTTGTCCACATGTTTGTTCACCCCCTCAAAGAACACTAACAGGTTAGTGAGACAAGATCTTCCCTTACAGAAACCGTGCTGAGTCTGCCTCAATAGGTTTTGTTCATCTATGTGCCTACTAATTCTTTCCTTAATAATGGTTTCCACCAATTTACCCGGTATCGACGTCAGACTGACTGGCCTGTAATTTCCCGGATCTCCTCTGGAACCCTTTTTAAAGATGGGAGTGACATTAGCTACCTTCCAATCCTCAGGAATGGAGGCAGATTTTAAGGAAAGATTACATATCTTTGTCAGGAGATCTACAAGTTCACATTTGAGTTCTTTCAGAACTCTCGGATGTATGCCATCTGGGCCTGGTGATTTTTCAGTTTTTAAGTTGTCTATCAGTTTTAGGACCTCCTCTCTCATCACCTCAATCTGACTCAGGTCTTCCAACACCCCTCCTGAAATCAGTGGTTCTGGAGTGGGCAAGCACTTCTCATCTTCCACAGTGAAGACGGAGGCAAAAAATGCATTTAGCTTCTCAGCCATTTCCCTATCATCCTTCAATACTCCTTTTACCCCTTGGTCGTCCAAGGGCCCCACTGCCTCCCTGGCTGGTTTCCTGTTTCTAATGTATTTGAAGAAAGTTTTATTGTTGGTTTTTACGTTTTTTGCTATATGCTCCTCATATTCCCTTTTTGCCTGCCTGACCTCAGACTTGCATTTTATTTGCCATAGCCTGTGTTCCGTTTTATCAGCCTCACTGTGACTAGCTTTCCACTGCTTAAAGGAATTCTTTTTACTTTTTACAGCCTCCATTACTCTGTTTGTTAACCATGCAGGCTTTTTCCTATACCTGTTTGTGCCTTTCCTAACCTGCGGAATATATATTTTTTGAGCTTCTAGGATCGTAGTTTTAAATAGATCCCAAGCTTCCCCAATTGTTTTGACCCTTTCTACTTTTCCTTTCAGTTTCCTCCCCACGTGTCCCCTCATATCAGAGAAATTACCCCTTTTAAAGTTAAAAATGGTTGTGTGAGTCTTTTTGGCCAATTCTCTATTTGTACAAATGATGAACTCAACAACATTATGATCACTGTTTCCAAGCGGTGCAATCACTTTTACATCTCTCACCAGGTCTTGAGTGTTACTTAGGACCAAATCAAGGATCGCCTCTCCCCTGGTAGGTTCCGTGACCATCTGCTCCATAGCACAGTCATTTAGAGTGTCTAGAAACTCTCTCATTGCTGTCCTGGATACGTTCAGCTACCAAATTCAGATGTCCATTTATTCTCTCTTTGCCCTGACTCGTGTCCTTGTTTCCCCTATGCTTGTGTTCCATTTCAGATGCCAAAGTCCTCGTTTTGCTTTCCTTTCATATAGCATGTGGATCCAGATTTCTTTCCCCCAGCTAGAACTTTGGTTGCAAACAAGTTGCTGCTGTTGGAAAATTTCACACAAATACACACTTAAATACTTGCTATGGTATCCATTGTCTGGAGTGCTGTGTGGACTGTTACATGTATTGGCTAATTCCAGTGACATCACTATACAAATGGCACATTGTCTCTTCTCACCCTCCAACAATGCTATTTTGAAACCTTTTAAAAGATCATTTTAATGGGTATCTGTAATAAGATGTCTGTGAAAATAGAAAACATTTATTTCTCCTTTGATAAATCCAGAGTGGAGTAAGCACGTCTGAATTACCACTGTTCATTTTGTGCTATTACAGGTATAAAACTGTTGCTGGAGACTGTGAGGCTCCTGAAGTCAAAGGGCTGGCTGAAATGAAACCAAGACTTCAGTCTGTAAGTTGTTCCCATGATAACATGTTAATAGCAACTGGATAGGTGAGAGCTCTTTTTTCAGAGCCGAACCAGATAGGACTCTGGAAGAGTTATGATCAGGTCTTTTCAGAATTTTGGATGGTAAATTGTAGCCATGGAGTCCACCAAATCTAGATGAAGGCAATGGTGAAGAGAGAGGGAGGGTGTTAAACCTTCCTACCACATTCAGTTTTGCCAACTGTAATCACCTTTCATCCTCAGCTTTCTGGCTTGCAACAGGGGGAAAAAAGACTTGCAAGGAGAGAAACGGGTGTGTGTGTGTAAGTTTTGATGCTTGAAACCACACTGGGGAAGTGTTAAACCCCCTTCCCCCCACATGGCGACCATGATTCAAATTAGTGCTGCAATTTCCATTTTAAAAATCTTGAGAAGATTCAGTTTTTCAACATTTCAGTTGGTCTCTTCCTTATTTCAGAAGTTCTTACCTGAATCAGAGTCGTTTGAACAATGCAGAGGGTGGGGGCAATTTGTATGTCAATTACTTAATTCATCTGTAGAGAGAATAACACAGACAGTCCTTTTTAGTTTTTAGTTTAGGAGGGCGGTCTAAAAGCCTAAATAAATCAATATGCTCAGCATTGATGCAAGAGCAAAACACCTGACGAAATAGCTGAGTTACTGAAGAATTTATTACCCACACACATTCCTGTTGCTCCCGAGGAACACTATGCAGAAAGTCTTCCTTTGCATAGGATTCTATATTATGTATAAATAACATATGTTTGTGAATATGATATGTTGATTAGAGCCTCTAGTCAAACATGCAGAAGCGGTTGAGGACTGTTTCACACATTCCAGCTATATTTTTAGGGGAGAGTCTGTGGCTGACTGGCAGAACATCTGTTTGGCATGCAGAAGGTCCCAGGTTCAATCCCTGGCATCTCCAGTTAAAAGGATCAGGTAGGAGGTGATGTGAAAGACCTCCACCTAAGTCCCTGAAGAGCCACTGCCAGTCTGAGTAGATAATGCTGACTTGGATGGACCAAGGGTCTGATTCAGCATAAGGCAGCTCCATGTGTTTATTGTATATAGATGACCTTAGCTTAGGCTAAAGTACACTCTCTGTAGTAGTGGGCTGTATCTAGCGATCTGAAAGCAAAACTCCACTTGCCTAATGAAACTTCCCCACTTCCACTGCAGTCTCCACACCCTCTCTAACACTATCTGTGGGGTTCAGGGAGTTTCCAGGAATGTTGCTGGGTGTAATGTCCAGGTCTGCAGGGAGAGGGGAAACTGGTGAAATCCCCTTCTCATGCTTGCAGAAGTACACTTACTGGTAGAAAACTTCGAACAGGTTGTATCAATGGGCTGCAATCCATGGTTTGAAGTAATAAGTCATGACGATAAAAAGGCTTCACTTTTATGTAGCATATTTCAGGTGTTCAGAATGTTTGGTGTACCCTTGCTCAGTCTCACAAGAACTGTTACGTGACTGGATGGGGAGCATCTGAAGCAGAGGGAATAGAGGCTTGTCTGGATCCACCTAATGAGTACATGGCTGTGTTGTGACTTGAACTGGAAATTTCTGGGCTAACATGGAGTTTTTCTAAGCTGCTACTTCGTAGGAGCTACTGCATGACAAGCCTCAGGCCATGTAGGAGGACTCATTCTGTGGCTCTTCCCATGCCATTTCTCCTTACGCGGTCAAGCATTTTCCCCAGCCCTGCAGGTCACTGCTCTTTTCGCTGTGAGTTCCTATGTCCAGACCATTGTTTGTGATGACTGAACTAGGCCTCTGGTACCCAGGTGTAAAGAAATGGTGGGTTTTAAGAATTTGTCATTACATCTGTCTTTGGTATGGTTTGGGTTTTTTAAACTTTTTTACCATCTTGTAAACAATTACCATGGCATCTTCTGCAAGCTTATTGCCATCAGATGGGTTGGACTGCAATAAATGTCTTAGGTATATTTTATATTTTAATTCTGGGATTTTAACTGTAATTTATAATTTTATTGGAATTTTATTGTGCTGTACACTGCCCTGAGCCCTATTTTTCAGGGGAGGGCAGTCTAAAAGCCTAAATAAATAAATAAAATTTTAACTAGGTGATTTTCACGTCTTTTGCAACTGTAACCATCTTAAATGCTGTGTTTAGTGCAGCTGAATTAGGTTTTTAAAAATTCACCCAAACAATATAAAACTCCATATTTTAAATGGCATCAAAAAGTTTTAAATGGCATCAAAAAAGTATGGAAAAGCCCTGGAAAATAAATAATGGCCTATAGTTGGATCCCAATCTAGACTTTGTCTTTCATGGCTTAGGTTGCTGAAGAGCTTTCCAGATGTTCCCACAGCATTTCTGAACACCAAGCAATTGTATGGTGTCTTATATCTGAGGTGGAAAGGAGAAGGAGTCACATCAAAGATGACAGGAGGTAAGTAAAAGAGAATTGTCATAGTTTAAGGTTTAGTAAAATATGTTCTATGAATATACAGATCCTGAAAAATTGGGTGAGTTTTCTGAAGGCCAAGCTAGATACGATGGAAGATCTGTGACTGGATCTCCATCAGGTTTTTTTAAATGTTAAAAGTGGGCACGGAGCTGAATCCAAACTGGGGCCATGTATCTGGGTTAGGGGAAGGTTAACCCTTTCCTGTGGATAATTTTCTTGATTTAGATCTCTGTCTCACAGAGAGAACTATATGCGTACACACATACACACCTCTCTATTATGAGGCCTGAGGGATAAACAAATTCTAGCAGACCAAGTGATTCTACATTCCTAGATTTTGGACTCCTGTCGAGCAGCAAATCTTCATTGACGTGCAGTCAGCTGCAGGCAGGTTATGTCAGTTGAAGGTCACGTCAACAACAAAACAACTCTAACTGTAACACACAAAATAGCAGGCTGAGATGACAAGCATAGATCCACCTACCCCATTGTGTTAATTTAAAAATTCTGAACTTTCCGTATTCTTGAGTATCTCTTGTTTTCGTGCTAAATAAATACCTATCCTGGCACTTGCATAGGTGTACCTGATCCATGAGCATGAAGTAGTTAAAGCAGTGCTGACCACATGGCTCCCTTGTACGTTCTTGGCTACATAATAACTTCCCTATCAGGCCAATGAGCTCAGGTGAAGTTGCTCACAGGTGTTGATGCTGTGCTTTTTTTTGCATTCTTAAGGAGCTTGTTTTCCTTTCTTCCTTGTGGACCCCTCTGCCTTAATTTATGCAGGAAATTTGCTAATATCTGATGATGGAGTAGGAGATATTAAGACTGAAGGATGCTTTTCTCCTAGTCTCAAGACTTTTATTGTATGAAGGATGCCATTTCTCTGAATTATGGATCTCTAAGGTATCAACAAAGACTGGGACTGTCTGAGATTTCCAGACAGAAAATCCAGAATAACTGCACTTTGAAGAATGCAATATGTATACCCAGTGGCTGGAGTTTAATCAAAGCTGTGTTTACAATGCAGCTTATATTTATAGAGTGTTCATCATAGACAGCATCATAAAACAAGGCAGTAAAATTTGTAAGGGGCAGTTCAGATAAGATGGGATGTTGACAGGACACTTGGAGAGATTTGTCTCGCAACTTGTTGACCTTCCTAACTGACTATATTGAACTGACGACGAGTGATCAGTTGCATTCAGAAAGCTTTAATATCTCCTTGAGGGAAGAGTGATGGTGATCCTGACCTTCTTGAAGAAGGCATTTGTGGGACTATTCCTGAAGAACCCCTCTGATTAACCATTTGCTAGCCATAATTCATGATTTTATGCCAGTTCTGTCCTGGAGAACAGGTTCCAGGAGGTGATGCTTGAGGACTTGAGCTGCTCTGGCAGTTGTGCTATGGGACTGGGTTGTATACAAGACTGCACTCCAACACATTATAGCATATACATGAAACTGCTAGCTAAAATCGATGGGATTTGGGGTATGGTGCCATCTGTATGCTTGTGATGTTGACCTCTGTTTCACCCTTCCTACTGAGAAGAGGTGGGTGTCCTGAACAAGAGTGTGGCCTGGATGAAAGTGAATAAACTGAAGCTCAATCCAAACTAGATGTTGCTGTTAGTTCTTTGGACTAGGATGGTAAATTACCACATGTTGTGGACAGAGTGACATTCCCTCCTAAGAGCAGGTTCACAGCTTGGGGTGCTTCCAGATTCAGGCTTATCTTTTGATCTACAGGTAGTATCCGTGGATTGAAGTATATTTTGTAAATGGGCTTGGTATGCCAGCTGTACCCTTTTCAGAAAGAAATGACTATGTGATCCATGCTCATCCCACCAAGGTTTGATTGCTGAGGTCATCACACCCTCTCAGACTAACCTCACTTACAGGGTTATTGTGAGGATAAAGTGTGGAATGGAAAACCATGTAAGCTACCCTGAAGTCCTTGGGGACGGGTGGGATTAAAGAGTGATAATTACTGCATTGCTGTGTTGATGGAGCTGTTTTAAAAAATTACAGCAGGATGTCTCTATTACTGACACTCTCAAGTGTTCCAGGCACTTCACAAATACCTCATATGGGTGTGGCCAGGAAGCAAAGCTGGATAAAGGATATAAAAAGTAGGGATTCCTGGGTAAAAACTAGTTCAGGCAAGATGGAGTCCAAACCCTTTGCTTGATGGGCTTAAGTCTTTAATCAGGCCAGGAAAGAGATGCTGTTACCTGAAACCCTTTGCTACCCAGCTACTTAAGAGCCATGAGGTCTCCATAGCAACAGATGTCACAGGAGCATTACTTCCTGGTGTATGTGCAAGTAGACTCAGCTTGCTGATTGTCACAATCATTGGCCACTTTGTACAGCATATGTTGATATTCTGCTTGTCCGCCCTGCAAATGGGAGTAGTTTTGGGTGTTGTTGTTCATTGGTGGGGAGAGAGAGCACTTCAGTGCACAAACCCCAGTTCATAATGGCTTTTTTCCCCCTGAAACACTGTTTCTGATACTTCCAACTTTGAGTCAAAATGCTGAACCAGGAGTCCTAGAAATTCCCCTCAGACATGCATTAGAGCTGTCCAATCTAGAGAGCAGTGACAAAACTTTCACTTTTCCTTTGAATCTTCTGTCTCCTTTGGTCCCTGTATTCCGTCCACAAGCACTTCACAATGTCACTTCTCCCTCCACAGCAGTTCAAAAATATGGCCCCCTTTCTCTGTCCCTTTGGCAAAACTCTGGTTCATGTTCTGGTCACCTTTACTACTGCAGCTTCTGCTTCTCTGTTTTTTCCTTGTTGTTCTTACATCCCATCAGCTTTGTCTCTGGCTCTCTTCCAACAAAATAATTGCTTTTAACATCACGCTTCTCAAATCTGTCTATCCGTTGTCATTTTTATTCTGTTTTTCTTCTAAGAAGTTGATGGTTATATATTCTCCTTTCCTACAGCAAAGCAGCCTAGTCACTGTCTCAGCTTCAGCAACCTCACAGGTTGGAGGTACACAGCTGGCTTCCTGTCCTTTCTAGGATCCATCAAAACACCACTTATTTTTCAATTCTCCATGACCTTAGACCTTCTGTTCTCTCTGTCTGTTCTCATAGCATGTAATGTTTGCTTTTCTAGCTCCACCACCCCAGCTGTATCAAGTTCTCTTGCTCCTTCAAACCCTGTCTTTTCTCACTTCCTATGCCTTGTGCCTGTACTAACCTCCCAGCATGCCTACACAATGCCACCTCTCACTTCCTACAAGCCACTCCTCATAAACCATCCCATGGGGGGGAGACTGTAACAGAGCAGATACTGTGGTAATGAGGAAGGAGGAGATGAGAGACAAGTAAATAGTGAATTAACAGATAGTGTGGTTTTGTAGAAAGGGTAGTAACAACTGAATGTTTTGAATAAGATTTATTCCAGAGCCAATGTACCCTTTTTGGTCTGTACCACTTCATACTGGAGGTCTACAGAATGTCACATTTGGATGATCTTCAGTTAAAATAATTCCATACATTGGGAAGAAGAATATTCAAGAACCCTTCGTCCTGATGTGCACATTTGTTCCGAATGAGTAGTTTAGCTCTTAAAAGGCTAGAGGGTACGCATTTTGTAACCCTATTTTTGAGATGATCATTCAGGTGATGGTTCAGCTACAGTTCAAGGATTTATTATGCAGGAGGAAACCCAAAATAATATTATTATGGCCAATAAATCCTGCTCACCATCTACAGTAAATTTTCATGTGGAAATGAGATTGTCACTCTTGAGAGGCAATAGACACATTCTATGCTTGTGTACCAGATTCCAGAATGGTGGTGAAGGGGCAGAGAACCTGCCTCTTATTGTGCTGGCCACAATGCTCCCTCTAAGCTGTGGAGTCATGTGAGCAAAAATTCTACTTTGTGAGCTACTGGCGTTAAAGTTGTGAGCAAGCGATTTGGCTACTGCATAAATTAGGTTGCTCTGGAGCCATCCTTCCTGAGCAAAGATAAAAATGTGTAAGCCAGAGGCTAAAAAACTGTGAGCTAGCTCACATTAACTCAGCTTAGAGGGAACACTGCTGGCCATACATCTCACCATATACAGGCTGTTCCTAGATCAGATCTAGTTATGATGCTTACTTTGGGACCTGTCTTGTCTCCTGCCTGTTCCCCTGCTGGATCCCCTGCTTTTGATTTCACTGGGAGCTCTAATTTGCTGTAGGACCAGCCTCTGGCTTATGAAGTAGCTTTGCTGATTATTTCATTTCTCACTTTCTCACAATTGGATCCATAACCTGGTTCTTTAGCATCCAGAAGATGGAGGCATGCCTTGACAAGATGCAGCTCATCTACAGCCAGTTTAAGAAGGTCCGGAAGTGTCCGCGTGAGTTGTTGATGTTCTCTATTGGGGTGGTAAATCAGAAGGTTAACTGCTACCAGAAAAGCCCATCTCAAAAGGGTCTGACCAAACAGGTCTCTTGAAATGCTACTGTGATACAAACCGGGATTCAGGAGTTAGCCTTGCAGTGGCTTTCCTCGTTCCTTCGGGGTCGGGGACAAAGGGTGGCTGTTGGGGAACAGCTATCCGGAAGGCACCTGCTTATTTGCGGAGTGCCCGAAGGAGCGGTGCTCTCCCCAATGTTATTCAACATTTATATGTGCCCCCTTGCCCAGGTTGCCCGGAGGCATGGAATGGGTTGTCACCAATATGCTGATGTTACCCAGCTCTATCTGTTGTTGGACAGCTGGACCTGGCATTGAAAGCTGTGGCTGGTTGGCTTAGACTGAGTCGACTGAAATTGAATACGATGAATGGGGCGCCATTGGTGCCAGCACTGGAGGTTAGGAGTTTGGGAGTGCTCCTAGATGCCTCCTTAACGAAGGAGGCCCTGGTAGCAGCCACTGTGAAGTCTGCCTTTTATCATCTACAGCTGATTAGGCAGTTGGTTTTCTTCCTTGAACACAATGACCTGGCAACAGTGATCCACGCAATGGTCACCTCGAGAATGGACTACTGTAATGCTCTCTACATGGTGCTGCCCTTGTCCCAGATCTGGAAGCTGCAGCTGGTGCAGAATGCAGCAGCGAGGCTGTTGTTGTGTCTTCCTGTGCGGGCACACATCCAGCCTGCCCTAAAAGCACTGCACTGGCTGCCTATAGCATACTGGATTCGGTTCAAGGTGCTGGTTTTGACCTTTAAAACCCTATATGGTCAGGGACCTATCTACTTAAGGGACCACCTTTCCCCATATGTCCCCCAGAGATCACTGAGATCAGGATCCCAAAATTGCCTGGTTCTCCCAGGCCCGAAAGAAGCCAGGCTGGCCACAACGAGGGGCAGGGCCTTTTATGTGGTGGCCCCGTACTGGTGGAATGAGCTCCCGAAGGACATCAGGGCCCTGCGGGACCTTTTGCCGTTCCTCAGGGCCTGTAAAACGGAGCTCTTCCACCAGGCTTTCAATTAGGGGGCCGCCTTTAACATCATGGCCGTGGCCCTAACATTAATATCAATATCATTGCCAGCCTGACGACCAACAGCCTGGGCTGGGTGTAGGCGACCATCCAGTTGTCGAGAGAATGCTGCCATCTTTTATTGTAATTATATTTGGAGTAGTTATGGTTTTTATATCCCGCCCTCCCCAGGTGGGCTTTATTGGTATATATTGTATGCCGCCCTGAGCCTGCCACAGCAGGGAGGGTGGGATAAAAATTTAATAAAATAAATAAAACTACTTTTCTTAACAGCCGTATCTTAAACAAAATGGCATGGAACATTGCTAGACTTGACTTGGGGTTCTAGCCATCAGTTTAGCAGCACCTGTTTAGACAAAATTACTGAAAGCTATGACTGATCACAGCACTGCTAATGCATGGGGTTAGGGTTGCCAGCTCCAGGATGGGAAATTTTTTGGAGATTTTGGGGGTGGAATTTGGGGAAGATAGGATTGGGGATGGGGTAGACCCCACCCCCCAAAGTAGCCATTTTCTTCAGGGAAACCAGCCTGTTTAGAGATCAGTTGTAATTCCAGGAGAGCTTCAGGCCCCACTTGGAGGTTAGCAACCCTACATGGGGCTTATAGCTTCTTGCATACATGAACATGCATACTTGCCAACTAGTGTGAACTGTGGCGGAACAGAGGCATATTACATAGCCAATAGGCTTCATCAGGGCTATTTTTGGGCAGGAACGCACAGGAACGGAGTTCCAGCTGGCTTCAGAGTTGGCCACGCCCACTACAGCTAAAACCTCTGTGTGTGTGGCTACAGAGGGAAGGCCTGGAGAGTGACCCCCCAGCGACTTCGAAGCGGGTGGGCCTGGGGGTTGGGGCCTGGAAGGATTGGGGAGGCATTTAAGGGCCGGATTGCCAGGCATCCCACAGCTATGGGGCACCTGGGCAAGTCAAGGGAAGACATGGGGTGTGGCCTAATATGCTAATGAACTGTGTTGTTGGGTGTGGCCTAATATGTTAATTAGTTTCTGCTGTTGGGTGTGGCCTATTATGCTAATGAGTTCCTGCTGGGCTTTTTCTACAAAAAGAGCCCTGGATTTCATGGCAAGTTGGGGCAAGTTGTTTTTCAGTTCTGGAAGCCCCCGAGGTGGCAAGAGAGCCTGCAGATAAAGGCTGGAGCCAAGTCAAAATTAGATCATTTTAGAGGTCCAATTTTAGCAAAATACCTGGGAACTGATACAAAGAATATTACCTGTACAGGGAGTTCATTGGTGTTTATTGTATACTGTGTTTCACATACTACACTAACAAACCTTACTACTTGAGTTCTCAGCCAGTGGTTTATATATGGATTGCTGCTCTTGTTCAGCAGTGTATAAATCCTACTTCCTTTTGTTATATTTCTGGTTTTCAGAGGTTCGGAACTTGCTCAGGAGGTACCTGCTGAAAACATAAAACCCTAAAATGCAACCAGCACTACTCTGTATTTTTACTTCTTCATATCATGATATTCTTCCAAGGAACTCACTATAGGGATTTCCCATATTCTCACTCTCATACGCATTGCCTCTCAGGAGGGCAAAAGTTGAGGAAGGAGTGGCAGGACATCGTAGCCTAGTCATTCTTTCAGTTCTCTGCAGCATGTCTTATGGGAAACGGGGGACTCCGCTATGCAGTAGGATAGAATTGGGGGGAAGCTGGCAGCTTTTGTCTGTGACTGTACAAAAAACAAACCCCAAAGAGAATTAAGAACTAATATGAAATACTGAATGATGAATGTGTGTGAGGGCGGAGATTAGGGTATTTTTAAAAATAAAAAAGTGAACCACATAGAACTGAGTTCCCAGATCCTATTATTTCCCTGCTCCTCATTCAGTTCCTCTGTGTAGTAGTCATCTATGAATTATGTCTTCTGATAAATCTCCTTCTAATTGCTTTTCTTTCTAGGACTGTTGTACAATGAACAGCAGATCCACAAGCTGGATAAGTAAGTATGTACAACTGGGCCAGCTGGCATTGAGCCTTTCCAGCATATATTCCATCAGAGTCTTCAACGTGCCATTACACATTCCTGCAGTATTAATGCTAAGATTGAGTGACAGAGGCCATTCCGTTACCATTACTTCACAGTTGCCCTGTGCCTGAAGAGATGAGATGAAGGGTACCCAGGCCTCTGGCATTGACCAGAGAATCTGTGCTGTCCCCCTCCCTTCAAGAACGCCAGCATGGCCCCAACCGGATGTAAATGCCCATTGACAAGCCAACATATACTTGTTATTTAAGTGTGTGAAGACCTGTTCAGACACAATATCATGGGAAGAACTTTCATACCCCTGTATGTCATGCCGAATACAATGATATTCAACAGAGTCACTTCACAGTCAGCTGTCAGGCTTTATCTGTACAGAAATCATGTGACATCCATGCAGGTATGAACCAGCTCTTGGGTAGCCCAGATTGCTTCTGTGCTCTCCACCCTAGCGCCAGATCTTCATTGGGGGCTGCTGCTATCAGCCTATGTCGCTGCTGTGATTTGGAGCCCATCCACATAGTGGTGACTGTTTGGTAGCTCTCATGTACACTAGGTAATGTATAAATTGAGCCTCATGTAGAAGATGGCAGATTGGAAATCAGCTCTTTTTCCTGCAAGCTCTGATATCAAAATATATTTATGGAATAACTTCAGTTAAACGGAAATTTCTCCCGATACTAAATAACTGATTTCTGCACTGATTTTTAAGCTTCTGTGTGTGCCTTTGCTATCCTTCAGTAAGGTTGCCCAAACTTTCTGAGTTAGGTATTTGGCAAAGATCCTATTTGAATTTAACATGACAGGGTTAAGTCTCATTAAGACTGATAAGCATTGGGTTGTATGCTATGAACCTTCCTGTGATGAGAGAAAGAGGAGGGAGCATTCTTGCCTGATTCCCTTCCTCACCTCAATCCTATTGTGACCATTTTTGTCCATGAGGCTCCGTGATGCCCAGCAATGCCTTTGGGTGGCCTCAGGAGGCTGCTGGGGGAAGACGGAGAAAGAGCCACTTCCACCAGCAGAACATCCATAGGATACAACTCATTACTGACATGCAGAAAAACACACTGATCAAAAGAAGTTGTTACTTTAATAAAATCTGAGCTTCTTTTCATCTGCCTTAGAAAAGTTTTAAAATAAATAAAAAGAGTTAAAATAATGTACGTTTTCTTTTGGTGAATTCATTCTTAGGGTGAACTTGGGACATTTAGCCAAAAAGGTTCTTTCTATTTTCCAAGATGACTGTGCACAGCAATACCAGGCTGCTCTTTTGGCACATGGAACCAGAATGAGGTAATCAGTGTGTCCCTTGAACACCTTCCCTGGCTTTTTCTAAAGCACTGCCATTTTATTTCAGACCATTTGACATGACATATGGCTTCAAGATTTGTGATAATCTCCTGTGCATATTACTATTACACTCAGTGATCCTATAGGTAGAGTCATCAGATTGAACAAGTGTGGGGTCATGTACCTTGTGATGTACATGCATGACTGACACAGTTCCCAGAAGACACAAACAAGGCTTCATTTGAAGGTATAGGTGAGCTGTGAGCTGTCCCCTTTGGCTTTCCCCTCAGCAGGATGAGGAAAAGAGGATTAGCTCCTCAGATGCTTGGGTAGGGACAATAGCTAGAGCCCTCTTGATCCTGCATAAGATGCTACCCTTACTTCCTTATTCATAATGTTACCTGGTTATTTTACCCAGTTTGTCTGGATATATTTATTTATTTATTATTTATTCAACTTTATACCCTGCCCTCCCAGTGAAGGCCGGCTCAGAGCGGCTTACATAAAATCAACAGGAACATTTAAATAGTATAGTAAAATATTTAAAACAGTATTTAAAAGATTACAATTCCATGATAAGTGCTAGTTTTGCTGTTATAAAGTTAGTGATCGCTACCATCAACTCTCTCTTCCCGTGGCCGGCACAGATCTTCTATAGGTGCCTTTCAGGTGTCCTTGCGGTGGCTGTCATAGTTGTTAATATAAGTTCCAGGGCTTCTCATCCTAGTTGTTAGAGGTGGTGGCGGCTCCAAAAGCCTGATGGAAGAGCTCCGTTTTACAGACCCTGCAGAACTGTAATAGGTTCCTCAGGGCCCTGATCACCTCTGGGAGCTCATTCCACCAGGATGGAGGAACCCGTGCCCTGGTTGTCATCAGCCTAGCCTCCTTAAGACTCGGGAGGGCCAGTTGCAGGAGTGCACAGGACCGGAGCTCCGGCAGTAAAGAGCCCATGGGGCGGGCACATGCAACAAGCCCCACCCCCTGCTCCCAGCAGCCCTCAGTCAGAGCAAGAAGCAACCAGGTAAGCTGCAGAGCCCCACCCGCCCCCCTGGTCCAAAACAGTCCAGTGGCACCTTTAAGACCAGGTTTTATTCAAGTATAAGCTCTCCCTCCTCTATGAGGGCAGATCTGCATGTTCCCCCTCCCCCCAATAGCTAGCAATCCAAAACAGTCCAGTGGAGCCTGAGCAGTGGGTGTTGCCTTCTGACACACTTCTGGTGATGTCAGGGGGTGTAGTATATGCAAATAAGTTATGCTAATGAGCTCCTGCACCTCTTTTTCTACTAAATTACCCCTGGCCAGTCAGTTCTGGCCCCCTGACCGCAGTGCTCTCTGGGGAACATATGGGGAAAAGGTGGTCCCTCAGGTATGTAGGTCCATGACCATAAAGGGCTTTAAAGGTAAGAACCAGCAACTTGAAACGAATTCTGTATGCTATCAGCAGCCAGTGCAATGCCTTGAGCACAGGCTGGATGTGCTCCCAGATTGGGAGTTCCATCAACAGCCTGGCCACGGCATTTTGCACCAGCTGCAGCTTCCGGATTTGAGACAAGGGCAGCCCCATGTAGAGAGCATTACAGTAGTCCAGTCTCGAGGTGACCATTGCATGGATTGCTATTGGCAAGTTGCTGCATTCGAGGAAGGGAACCAACTGCCTAATCAGCCGAAGATGGTAAAAGGCTGCCTTGGCAGTGGCTGCTACCTGGGCCTCCATTGTTAAGGAGGCATCTAGGAGCACTCCCAGACTCCTAACCTCCGGCGCTGGCACCAAAGGTACCCCATTGAAGGTTGGGAGCAGGATCCCTACCCTCGGATCGCCCCGACTCAGGAACAGGACCTCCGTCTTCGTCGGATTCAGTTTCAGCCAGCTCAGCCTAAGCCAACCAGCCACAGCTTATAACGCCTGATCTAGATCTTCCGGTTTGTAGTCGGACTGACTGCCCAACAACAGATAGAGTGCTATTATGAAGGGGAAAGTCTGTGGTGATTGTCCTATGAGGGACGTGAGAGTGTTACAGAAGCTTCAGCAGTGTTTGTGGCTTCTGTAACACCCTCACAAAACAGCATTTTATAGAGATGAATAGCACTTCATGACTCAAAAAGCCATTTTATAGGTAAAGCATGAAGGAAGCAAAGAACGTAAAGTCTACATAGGAATACCTCCAATGGGTAATTGTTTGGATTAAATATTTTATTCCCTGCTTCTTCTTTACCTTGCAACATATGAATAGTTTGTGTTTTTTATGCATCTGATGAAGTAAGATGTTGCATACAAAAGCCCATGCTTGTTTCCAAGCTTGTATTAGGCTTAGTGTTTACTCATCAAATGCAGGAACATAAATTTTTCCTACTAATGTCTAGAGCATTTCTGAAATCCTCACATTAACTAGGCATGAGGGATTTTCCCCCATCTGCATGATTTGGTCCACAGCAGGACAGCTGACATTAATACAGGCATGTCATTGGGCTGCAGTTTGGTACCCATTTCACCAGCCTACACACAGCAAATCTTCCCAAGCCTTGGAGCTGGAATATTGATGGCAGTCTTTGTTTGCAGCATCAAGCGAGTTTCTCATATTGGAAGGAAGCCATTATTAAGACAAAGAGCAGCACTTAGAAAGAATGATTTTATGTTAAATGGTGTTTGGGGAATAATGCAAAGAGCAAATTGTCTGGTGGTGATGGAGAGCCAATGCATTGACTTATTACACCGGAGAAAAGTGCAGTCACTTAGGGAAGCCGTTGCAGCCACAACTGGGTTTTTAAAATTGCAATATGCTTTTAAAGCACAGTACCTTTTCCAATGTGTTTAGGTGGGGCTGAGGGTTTTTGATATACTAGTCACTTTGAGAATTTAGTTGTCTAGACAGAAGCTGTCAGGTATGAATAGGTTCAATCAAAATGTGGTAGTACCATAACATGAAAGCAGAGGCAAGAATTAGACTAGCGAGATCTGAGTCCAGTAGTGCCTTAGAGAACAACAAAATTTGGGGGGTGGGTGAGCTTTTGAGAGTTGAAGCCCCCTTCATCAGACTTAGACTTAGACTGCAAACCTAAGAAGAATTGCACCCTTCTAAGCCCATTGACTTCAATGGGTTTAGAGGGGTCTAACTCTGCTTAATACTGTTCTTTTAGTAGTGTTGCTGAATGACATCAAATCAAACCAAGACTACCTTTAAAACTTCTCTATATCATGAAGAGCAGTCATGTAGGATAGGACTTCTAGATGGCACCATAATATTCTAACAAGTAGTACATGAAAAGTGGAATTCCAGATGCATATTTTAGGTAGATGATTGGAACATGATTGCAGTGGGAAGAAGTCTGGCACTTAAACCATTGGGATTTAAAATGCTTATCTTTGACTAAATTGTGCCCCTTTGTTTTCAAAGCTAACAGTTTATTGAACTGGTGATTTTATAAATGCTGCATCTTATTTCAGAGATAAATACTTGGCTAGGCACTTTTATTGTTTTTGTATTAGTTGTCACTGTTTAATAGTTCGCATACCCAAGATACCTGAAAGGTTTGGGATAGCGAGGTGGTCTCCCAAAGACATTAATAATTATTTATGTACATGATATACCATGCTTTTGTTAGTTATTCCTTGATGTCTGATGTATGCTTCACTCCTTGTTTGCTATTGTTGTTGTTGTTAAAGTTAACAAGTTTCTTACTATAGTAAGATTTGAGTCCCGTAACTTCTTAATTTCTTATTAATCCCTCTGTAAATTCTAGCAGGTATAGAAGACAATAGTGTGATCTGAAACTTGTAACTATCTTTCCTTTTCTTGCTATAAAAATGCCTCAAAGCTGCATTGATATGCAAAATGTGTAGCCCCAGAGCATTGTCTTCAAAACCTGTGATGCAGCAATCTCACCAGAGCTAAACCGGCCTGAGTTTGATCGGTGCCTGGATAGGAGACCACCTGGGAACCTGATGTATAATGCTTTGTGTTTCATAATGAACGAAAGTCAGGATGTACATACAATAAAATATTAATATACGGTTGGTTCCAAAGAACCGTGAGCAGAACTCAGCTGGCAGAATGGACCCTTCCTTCCTCCTCTTGTCTTCTGCAACCCCCTGAACCACCCAAAAAGGCTAGGGGATCCTTGGGAAGAATATGAGCTGCAGCAGAATATCAGTGCAAATTGCAAATCCCTTCTTTTGTTCCTGTAGCAGATGGACACTTTTGGATCCAACCAATTTTTTAAAATCTAAATGTACTCCACAGATGGGGGAAATATCATTTTTGTGGAGTAACATCAGTGTTGTAGAGCTTGGCCATTCAGTCCCTGGTGAACTCTGTATACCTGAAGAATAATCCTTCTGGTTTAAGTATTTCCATTTCAGAGCAACTTAGATATGATGTTGTTAAGGGGGGGGGGGCAGCTCTCTATTGCTAATAGCTATTTGACTAGGATTTTGTTTTACCTGCAGGAAGGTGTTTGAAATGAGGAAGCATTTGAAGAAACTAAACAGATCTTTAACTGCCTGCAGTGTGGAGATATCAGGATGCCAGGATGACCTCTATAATGTACAGGTTTTCTTTCTGCTTAGGACTCTGCATTAAAGCAACTCATAATAATTCTGATAAAAATACCAGCACACAGGGTAGAACATATTATCTGAAATTCAGTTATCTTCAGTTACATGAATCCACATGTGGTTCCATGTACAACTATGTCATACAACTACATTTGTTTCTAAACGTTGAGCCTGATGGGGTTCAATCTGTGCTGGATTTTGAATGGCAGGCAGAAATAAAGAAAAGAATAAATAACTTTGCACAGGATGAACAGTGGAGCAGGACTTGAGATTGAACATTATTCTTCATGCTCCAAAATCTTTGATTCATTCATACCCTTGAAGACCCAAGAACTAAGAATGGGTTGCAAGCTGATTGATTGTCAAAATGAAAAGAAGCATTAGAACTCTGCTGTGTGTCTTGTCAAGAATAATCTTTAACTAAGGGCATGATCTCTAGATATCACCTCTTACTATAGCAATTTGTAGGGTTTTCCCTATGAACATTTGAGGAATATCATAACCAACACTAGTACTTTTCTGGCTGGCATGATGGATCTAGACTGTTCACTAGCAAGCCATTAGTGTTGCTATAATCCTGCAAGGGTTCCCTTCGGTAATGTGGTGAATGTCAAACAGAGGTGCTGTGGCTCAATTGCTAGAGCATTGGTTTGGGTTGCAGAAGGTCCCAGGTTCAATCCCTGGCATCTCCAGTTAAAAGAATTGGGTAGGTAGTAGGTGCTGTGAAATACCTCTACTTGAGACCCTGGAAAGCTGCTGCCATTCTAAGTAGACATTGCTGAACTTGATGGACCAATGGTCTTATTTCATATGAGGTGGCTTCATGTGTGCCACATGACGAAAGCATAAAATACGGAGGCAGTCCAGTGATGATTGTAGCTATTGGATGAATAACATGGTTGCCTAATCCCTGACTAATAGACAATAATAATAGATCTGGCACTTTTCCTATGTAAGATGCACCCTCTGCTGGTTTATGAAAGCAATATTACATGTCATCAGTGCCGTTATTTTCATTTTTAATTTGAAATGGCCTGTAGAGGTAACCATGGCTTTCATTTAAACATTGTACTCATTTTTAAAGGCATTTCATTTTCTGTAACATCAAATAATAGTTACTGAAGACCTAGAGGTGCCTGCAATGACATGTGCATTTTCATTTTCTTGAAGGTTTTGGGTGAGCTGCCACAGAGAGTCCTTCAGGATAAAATGACAACCGTTCCTTCTTCACAAGGTTACTTAAAGCAGAAACACCAGGCTATGATGTTTGGGTACGTATGCCCAATGTAATGGCCAAGGGGTATGAAAGCTGGATGGTCCCAGGGTGCTCTTCTCTTGGAACCAGTTTAATAATACAGGCAGGGTTGCCAAGTCCTACCTGTTGCTGCAGCGGGGGACTCCTGGCTTGCTCCTGGAGTGCGCGCACGCCGCAACCACATCACCCGAAAGTGACGTGACCACGCCGGGCAAGCTGGGGGTGGGGCCATGACCATCGAGGGAAAACCATAGAGTTTTCCCTTGGATGACCGTAGCCCCACCCCCAGCCTGCCCGGCCTGGTTGCGTCACTTCCCGGTGACGTGCACATCGCATACTTTGGGGGTGGGGTTCCCCCCAGGGCCTGATCCGCCACCGGCGGGGAACGGGCCTCTGGGGCGGGGGGTTCCCCGCCCCCCGGGGGGGGACTTGGCAAGCCTAAATACAGGGTGGGTTAGGGTTTCTGTAATCCATGGTAGAAAAGACAACACTGTTGCCATCCACAGTGAGATTCCTTGGGAAAAGACAACTATATTATTCTTACAAAGAGAATGTTAATGACTTTCCAAGAAAAAACTTTTTTCCCCCTGTTATTCGGTAACTGCCTTTTCAGCCATTTCCCCAGACACTTCTGTCCCTTACAGGAATGATCCCCCAAAAGCAGTTTTCACAGCCATGAGTTTTCCAGCTCACCTGTGCCCAAATGTTCTGATCTCTCAGTGCCTTCCATTCAGATGGGCTTCTGTTGCCTTACACAAGAAGCAATAAAGTTTAATACTCTCCAAATCTGGAGTCTTCCCCCCCCCAATTATTATTTCAACAGCGAGTTCAGGTATATCACGTCTCCAAAGCTGAGGCACCATGATCTTCCACTTGCAAAATTACAACCCACTTGTCAAAGCTCTCAGTTGTAAAAGAATTTGTTTGGGTATTACTTTTTTCATAGAATCACAGAAGGGGCCATACAGACCATCTAGTCCAACCCCCTGCTTAATGCAGGATCAGTCTAGAGCATCCCTGACAAGTGTTTGTCCAGACGCTGCTAGTGACGGGGAGCTCACCACCTCCCCAGGCAGCTGATTCCACTGTTGCACAACTCTTACTGTCAAAAAGTTTTTCCTAATATTTCTTTCTTTCTTTTTTATTTACTCTTATATCCCGCCCTCCCCGCCATTCAGTAGGCTCAGGACAGCGAACATAATAAATATACATTAAAATTCCAGTTAAACTATCAGTCAATATAAATCATACTATTTAAACATAAGTTACATTAAAAGATGGCAATCTTCTAACATCAACTATCAGCTGAATGGTGTCATCAGGCTCCCGTCCAGCTATAAAGCCTCAGTTGGTGGGGCTGTTGGTGCTGTTGGTACAGTTAGTAATCGGGCCAGGGCCATAAGTCGAGGCGGCACCCTACTTAAAAGCCTGGCAGAAGAGCTCCATTTTACAGGCCCTGCGGAACTGTAAAAGGTCCTGCAGGGCCCTGATGTCCTCTGGAAGCTTCCACCAGTGAGGGGCCACCACCGAAAAGGCCCTGGCCCTCGTTGTAGCAAACCTGGCCTCTTTAGGCCCTGGAAGAACCAGGTGATTTTGGGAGCCCAATCTCAGTGCTCGCTGGGGTACATGCGGGGAGACGCGGTCCCTCAGGTAAGCAGGTCCCTGGCCATAATAACCAGCACCTTGAACCGTATCCGGGATGTTATAGGCAGCCAGTGCAGGGTTTTTAGGACGGGCTGGATGTGTTCCCACATAGGAAGACACAACAACAGCCTTGCTGCTGCATTCTGCACCGGCTGCAGCTTCTGGATTTGGGACAAGGGCACCCCCATGTAGAGTGCATTGCAGTAATCCAGTCTCGAGGTGACCAAGCTGGTACCTTCCTGCCCTTAATTTAAACCCATTTTTGCAAGTCCTATCCATGCACACACACACACACACACACACACTAGGAATAAGGTCCGTTGTGGAAATAAATACGAGCTCTAGAAAGAGGCTCTGGGAGAGTGCCAAGGCCTTGGGCACTCAGTGTCAATGTGCTGTGGCAACCTCAGCAGGATATAATGACACAGAGTCCACCATTTTCTCCAGAGGAACTGATCTCTGCTACCTGAAGAGCAGTTGTAATTTTCAGTGATCTCCAGCCCTCACCTGGAGATTGGCAACAATTGTTACCCAGGAGGAAATGGCTGGTTTGGAGGGTGGAGTCTATGGCATTGTACCTGTCTGAGGTCCCACCCCTCCTCAAACCTCACCCTCTCCAGGCTCCACCCCTCAAATCTGCATAAATTTCCCAACCTGGAGTTGACAACCCTATCTCCTTCCCAGCCAAGCATCAACCTCCCATTATCTGCCCCTCTAATTTCAGCTTTGCATCTCCTCCGCTCTTC